CTTCTCTGCAATCTCTAATGCTAGCTACGTTTGTTGTACCATATATTTAGACAACCTGTGTCCTGCGCACCTGTTTATGTGTCAAAGTGGTGAATGCATTCAGCGTGTATATATTTGCGACCAGATCGAACATTGCTTTGATGGTAGTGATGAACTGAATTGTGGTGAGATACGTAAAAGTCATGTTTCAGTAAACTAAACAGTATACCATGTAGTAATTGTACATTATACGTATTTGCGTCGATGGACATCAATACTACTAAAATCAATATAGTGCTCAGTGACTTGTTTTGTATTTCAGACTTTACTAAATGCTCCGAGTTCACCTGTGATAATGGTCGATGCCTGCCGTTTTCATACTATTGTAACTATATCAATGAGTGTGACGACAATTCAGATGAACGATACTGCGGTAAGACTTTGTACAGTTTATTTCTGAAACTAATACAACAGAATCATGATATCAACAAACTCTTCATAAAAAATTTTATGCTCTTGACATATTTTTCATGTCCAAGTACACTTTGTATTACGTAGTATTATGTTACTCGGTTTCCATTATTGAAGTAAAAGTTATCATTGGTAACATTAATAATAATAATATAGTCAGCTGTTCCGTTTGTGATACAGCATTGATTTCTCATATTACTTCCATATGACATATGCCATTTGTAATCAAAGAGGAGATTTTAAATCGATTAGCTGTGTTATGTTATGTACGACAAGAAGTCCACCAGTTCGGTATATTTAGTCAAATATCTCCACCAGACATTTACCAACGTTTTCATATTTCTATCATATTATTTTTACGCTATTGTCTTTAGAACACCAGATATGTGAAAACTCTATCAGTAAAGCTTTCCAATGTGACAATGGTCAGTGTATTCCTCTCAATCAAATATGCGACAAGAAGAGTCAGTGTTTGGATCACAGTGATGAATTAGTTACTATGTGTGAAGGTTGGAATACAATATAGAATAGAATAGAATAGAATAGAATAGAATAGAATAGAATAGAATAGAATAGAATAGAATAGAATAGAATAGACAGCGATTAACATATTATTAATTATAATTATATTGACCTTTAGACATTGACTTCTAATTAACAATATTATTGCATAATTTGTGTTATTCGCATTCTGTTATTTGAAGTACAACGCAGGAAATCTGATTCTGTTTTGTTATGGTTTTATCACCCACTCAAGATATCTGCAACGGTTTTGAGTGTTTAGATGGGTCTTGTTTGCCTAACACGGTGCAGTGCGATGGCGTTGATGACTGTGTATACTGCCCAGGAGAAATGTCACCAGACGAGTATCTACAATGTGGTATGTTAAACAATGAAAACATAATCCACATCTGTATACAATATAGTCTTGATTACCTTTCCCTCCAATTGCAGTTGTAACTATTTCAATGACAACTTATTTCAACAGCAATTTCGTATCTCATTCATATATCATAAAACAGATATCTCAATTCATAAAAATATTTTCAACTTTAAAGATTAATTCGTATTTCACTATACAATACAATACTATTTATATAATATATCATCGTGTAGGCGTATATGATGAATGTGATGATGGTGGTTTTCATTGCAAAAACGGGGTGTGTGCTTCTCAGAAGATGCACTGCCTTTATGATTTAGATGAACACGGATTTCTCATTGGGTGCCGGGATGCATCGCACTTGCAGAATTGTGGTAAGAATATTTTGCATCAATTCTTACATTCCGTTTAAAACAAAAAAATAAATAAAGATATTGATAATATCAGTGACCGTCTAGAAATACATCACAGTACATACATGTAGTTTAATATCCTTGCAGCTGAGATACTCGGAGAGATATATGATATTATATGATGTACATTCCTTTCTTTCAGAATCATCTCCGTGTCCCCCTATGACTTTAAAGTGTCCAGATGCTTACTGCATTCCATTACATAGGCGATGCGATGGCGCGGTAGATTGCCCAATGGGAGAAGATGAACATCATTGCGGTATGCATTACAATTATACACCGCTAATATTCTATGATGAACGTATGATCATAGTAAATGTTTATTAGTGTGAATGCTGCTCTCCTCCCTACTGTTACTAAACATGTTATATATTGATGTACTGAAAATACAGCGAAACATTAAAAACGTGTACAGCGTATAATACAATGACCAACGGAAGTATTTCGTGCATTTTGAATGATATACCACGTTAATCGTAACAATTTTAAATAATATTTCATGATTGACATCATCCTATATTGTAAATAATTTTAAATTACTGATGTACATATTGTTGAACTTGTCAGAGAACCACCAGTGTATAACAGGAACTTACAAATGCAGCAGCACATCACAGTGTGTGGATACTGCATATATATGTGACGGGATCAACCACTGTGACCTTCAAGATGATGAAATGTTTTGTGGTAATGTGACATGCATGTAAAATTCTTATTATATTAATACATTCGCGACTGATGTCTAAATTAGATCTTAAACAAAGTGTGTCATAGTGGCGTGTGTATATCTAAGCTGAGTTTTCCTTTATTTAGATTTCCAGTGTCCCATTGGCTGTTACTGTGTTGGTTATGATGCTAATTGTTCTGGAATTGTTGTGACGTCACGCCTGGACGTCAGCGTTTCTGTGAGAAGCTTGTGAGCATAAAATCAATAAATTACAATCAATGCAATGTCTGATTGACAGTGCGTGTCATCTGCTCCACGCTTCACATATGCCACAAATGCATATACATAATCTGGCAGATTACATAGAAACAAATAAAGTCCATTTTCTTGACATCTTATACAGATATTTTTTTGTGTTCGTACACCCTGCTAAATTCTTCACATGTTTCAAACAAAAATCACTAGGAATTACACTGACTTGTACTACCTATCACATTTGACAGTAAATACAAAAACAAATTATTTGATTACACTGCATCTATATTTTATGCCAAATGTTTATTTCAACATTCATCTTTTTTTTCAAGACGTCTCAGCTCTCTGCAAATGCAATTTCTGAACTTCTCAGTTGGTGATATATTGGATCTTGAGGATTTAATGTGGCTTGGATTGTTGTAAGTTATTATTAAAATTATTATTTGGCATTACTAAATATTGTGAATGATACTAACGTATTTTCACACACTGGATTCACGTAGTTTGAGAATAATTCTTTCGCATTAAACGTAGTTTATATTATAATTTTATCAGGGATATTTCTCATAATGACATTCCTGAGCTGGAAGATGGGGTCTTCATTGGCCTGGTTAATTTAATACATATGTAAGTATCTACATGCCATGTATTTTAACTGAATGATATTCATTCTCATTTCCATTTTTATTATTGTATACATTTCATACAACAGTTTGATATTGCATGGTAATTACCAGTAATTGTACTATTACAAATTATTATTACTTCAATTTGTTTGGTAGGGACCTCTCTCACAACAGACTCTCTGCTCTCAGCCAAGCCCATATGACAGGAATTGACAAACTAGAATTCTTGTGAGTAACTCTCTTATAGTTTATTTTAGAACGGTTTATTGACTATTTTAAGTTCTTTTAGGATATACATTGCGTGGTTCGTATGTACAGGTTGTGGCAAGTCGTTTTACATTGAAGTTACATATCACATGAACGATGTACATTTCATTTCATATGGTTGCGAAATCATGTGACAATCGCGGCATTTCAGGACTTCGAGTGTTATTGGAACTGGAAGTAATTACAATCTGTATTTAATCCTCGACCTTCAGAAATATGAAAGAATAGAACAATTCCGGATTTTTTTAAAAATAAATATAGTCGCCAAATTACGTTCTCAACCATGTCAAGCACAACAGTGACAAAACACATTCCATGTTTCATAACCCCATGGCAAGTAGTCTTCACAAAATCACAGTGATCATAACAATTGGAACGTCTAAATACCTAAAATTTATGTTTCAGGATTTACGACACAATCCGATTGTCCTCTACATGGAGTATACGTTCAAAGAATGTCTCAATTGAAAGTTCTGTAAGTAAAATTCAACAGAATATCTGACACTGATTAAGAGGAAAAGCATACATTGAAACGTTAACATGGTCAGAGAATTTCCACCTAACACAATGACATCAATGGCTTGTGTTTTAGAGGGATGCGCCGTTGACACCTATTACACAGTCAAGCAACTATACGGGCTCATCAATTCAATGTGTCACTGAATACGTAGTGTGTCTAGTGATTATTTACACCGTCAATTGTGTGTATGTGTGTCCGATCTGTTCTCACTTCACCAACTACACTATTTTTAGTTTTACAGATGATGTCACCATTTGTTGTTTGAGTGAGTTTGTGCAAATCACACTTGAAGAATGCGGTCCAGCGGTAATCTGGCCATCACATTGCCAGTCCGATCTTTTATCAACCAATGTTTTGCAAAAAGCTGTTTGGATAATCGCCGCTCTAGTTATAGTAGCTAATGCATATGTGGTCATCTACAGATTAACTCGACAATCGAAGTCGACGGTTGATTCAACGTTTACAACCATCTTGGCTATATTTGACATGCTCATGGGAGTATACTTGCTTGTAATTGGGTACGCTGATACATATTATCGAGGAGTTTACCTTTTCTATAATCGTCGGTGGAGCGAGAACATACTGTGTACCGTGGTTGGAATCATTGCAAAGACTTCGAACCATATGTCCCTGTTGCTTCTTTCGGCTATGACTGTCGATCGCACATTAGTGATAACTTTTCCCATGAAACAACTCCGGCTAGACGTCGCCAAGTGCAGAATGCTGATAGGGGGGTTGTTCTGCCTGGTGCTACCGAGTGTCACGCTCCTGGCTTACTACACGCCTCAATTCGGAAGCATGTTTTACGGTCAAAACGAAATGTGTTTAACCGTGATTCATCGTCCTAGTATACAGACAAGGTGGGATTATTCTTTCATTTCATTCATGGTGGTCGACGTCGGCTGTGGTATCACAATAACTGTTTGCTACCTGATTATGTATCGCGCAATCGTTGGTCACCAGTCGGCTGTTAGGAACAGTAGGAAGAAGCGTTTGCAATTGAAAACTGTATTCAACATGGCCGTTATAGTAATGAGTGTTCTGGTCGCCTGCTTGCCATTCACTGTTCTAACAGTGTGTGGACTGTTTGGTGTAGACGTGGGCTCTGTCGTGAACGGATGGGTTGTGGTTATGATACTCCCTGTCATATCGTTGACCAACCCGTTGATATACACTGCAGTTGGGCATATACTCGAAGCATGGACTGCAATGAGGTTATACATGAGAATGAAATTCAAAAAGCAGGAAACATTGGGTATGTTATAATTAACACAGACCATGTTCCCCTTATGATAATATGATAGATTACAACATGCTTGGTCTGAATCTAGGCATCTGATCGACAGAAGCTAGGTGTTATATATATTCTATAGCCGCGAGCACGTTGATTTCGCGTTCAAGGGTCGAAACAGAACACTGGTTTTGATATAATATGCACCAAAAAGAGAACTTATTGCTCCTTATATAGAGTATTTTAATTACGATTGTTTTGAAATAATATGCATCATAAAGACTACGGCCATTGTTGCGCTCTATTGTATATCAATGCTTGGTTCACAGTGTAATGTACAACCCCTGACACCTATTGACATTTCTAGTGTATGTATCATAACTATATCTTGCTTGCTGTCCCTTGTTATCTTTATATCATGCAGTAATGTGACTGCCATATAGTATAGTATAGTAGCCAGTCACAATCTCCCAAAACCCTATATGATGAAATAGTCCTTGCTAAATCTGAATCTCTTTTGCAATAATCTGTATGCATGTTTTCTAAAGTGAAAACTCACCCGTTGCCATGAGCACATTTGTGACCCAATTCATCCTAAATATTCATAAGAACTCACGGTTTGAATAAGTTTGTTTTCAAATTAAAACACAAAACACTACACACATTAATTTTTTGATTTGTGTATATTGATGTCCCACCTACAGATGAACTCAAACAGCAATTTCACAATACGTTTTGAAATGTTATCTTTATTTGCCATAAAGACAATGTCATTTGAGTAGATGTAAGATATTTAATAACCGAACTTCTTCATTTATTAATCTTATTAGTCAATGAAGTAATTGTTTTTAAAAAAAATGAGATAACAAAAATAAATTAATGTAACCAATGCTCATATAAATGAGATTCTTGAAGATATTAACTATTGAATGCAGTGCACAGATTTAATTAGTTTCTACATGCCAAATTAAATGAAAAGTTTGTACAAACCAGTAGAGATAACGTACCCAACCGTAGATATGTTAACAAAAGTCGTAAATGAACAAGCGCTTTACAAATCTATTAAGTTGTCTAAGCCTATACAAACGATATAATAAATTCGGTATTGTAGGCGCACTCATATTCTCTATCACACCACCTCATGTTATATTCCTCTTCACATCAGGAGATCTGTTTGTTGATATACTGAGAACATATCTCTGGGAGTGTCGGATGTACTGGCCTCTGACGCAGAAATCCGTTCTGAAAGCAAAGACCTATACAATGAATTCGGTACATAATACATATAACACCGCCACTAAGACAAGACTAATCGAAGACGTATCAGCTGCTGTAGATATACTGCATGAAGAAGGCTACAGTCATCTGAAATTATCAGAAAATATGATCATTGTAAGTTAGCTTTTATTTTCTTCGTTCTGAATTGTTTATATAAATGTGAAGTTTGCCGCGTTCGGCATACTCCAGTGGCACGTGGATTTTAATGTGCTAGATTTGACCAAGAATGTTGATTACCATCACTGATGACACTGGAGTCAATAATTCAACAGTTTCATCTTAAAACTAGTAATTGTTCACAGTAAACAGTTGTGTCCATACCTCAGACATAGTGAACTGAGCATTTTTCTGTCGAAGCATAGTGGCCTTAGCGAGATGTGAATAAAAACGAAGTAATTTTTTTTTGTAGACTAACCCACATGGCGCTGTCTTACTACTTGGTAGTTCTCTGAAGGAAGCTTCTGATTACAATATAGAAGAAGATTTGCAGAAGTTAAAAGAATTGAAACACCGATTAATGTGTGCAGAACATAAAGATGATAGGAACAACTAAACAGTATTTTTTGTTTAATTATTTTGTAAAATAATATTTCATAGAAAAGATCATATGGTAAATATTATATAATAGTATTTTCAGATAGAAATTTGACAAGAATATTTAATGTGTGGGGATTTTGATGTTGGTAATTTGTTATTGACATTACTATTAGCTATATCAATAATGCTAGTAATTACACAATTCGTGCGTGATTTACAATTCTCAGTGAATTTCCAATTATTTTGGCCTGATTGGCTGAAAATCAGACTATAGAGTACGTATACTCTTCTAAGTAATCAAGCAGTCGGGAATATAAATGATAACATGTTGAATAGAGGATGTGTCAGCAATAATAATTGATTTTATTTCTTTTTTGTTTCACATATTTTATTATTTATTGGATTTATATATTTTGTAAAATCCTAGTATGTTCTAGAAATTTATTGAGTGCACTTTTAGCATTTTGCATTAGGTGTTATAACATTTAAGAGTGACATAACAATGAGGTCATTGAAACGTACGCCTGTCTAAAAAAATAGCAAAATGACGTCATTCTAGGAAAAATAGGCAGTTTAACGAAAGCCAATATACAGTAGACACATTTTGTTTACAATCAGTCAAGAACCAATTAATCGTAGTGGACAACAATTTGTTCGGAACTGAGAAACAAAACTGTGGTATAGTTCATGATATACTACAAATTTGCAATATTGTAATACAGATATATTTGACGACGATTATTTCTGCCAATCTTGAATACCAGATATATAATGAAAAAAATGTGTATGCAAACAGTGTTGGTTTCATAATAATAGTGCACCATTATAATAAGGACACAATTCGGTTCACTCAAATCATTAATGGGAGGCAGTCGTCCCGCAGCGTGTTAAAAATACATTGTGTATTTACCGGTACATGAAATTCGAACACGCACTGCGCGACGACCACCGCGCTTTAGCAACAATTACTGCGATCGTTTTGAATGTTACTTGACAGACTATGTCGGTTTCCGCTACACATTTCAAATAAATTACGCCCTTTAGGAACGAAAGGCATCGATGACGTCACTTGATAATGATGGAAATCGAGTAAATGCGACTGATGCGATGTGTCCACGCTGTATTTTCACTCGCTTTGCTCGTGCGAATACAACCACAGAATATACCGCATCACGTGTTCAATTAATTACCATACTCCACATAAATCAGGGCGTGGCTATGATGACGTTCTAGTATTATTATTATTATTATTCTATTATTATCAACTTCCATAGTTATTTCATTACTCTTGATAATCTTGCCAAAACTTGCTTTACTAAACACCACAGGACAGGACAGGACAGGGTACAATGATTGTTTTCTATTTTTTAATAAACGGTAGACTCACACATTATTTATATATAATAGCTCCCTCTATACTCATTTCTGTGAATTTATATGTGATGCTGCCACCGAGGGCGCCTAATGATACAATACGATGAACCACTGAAAAGGGGGACGATTTATTCACGTTGAATTTTCCATCTTGTATTCAGCTTGCTTGCTAATAACCAGACTTAACATTTTAATAAACGTATATTTAAATATGTTACAACATAAATGCTCTATAATGTCTTATTGTATTACATAATGTCCTTTCTTTTAATTATTGTGCTGCTCATGTAAGCGATGGCAAAATCCCACATTTGATTCAACATTTTACTCATAAATGTGTATCCGCAAAATAGTTGAAAGCATTAACACTGTGTTGGCACTCGCAACACGTGAATTCGATCACTATGTATACACCAGTGACTAACATTAGCACATCACAGCTGAAATCAATACAACCTGTCACTGAAGTAATCCCTACACTTGGGACAGAATTTGTCTACACATCATCCCGTACAGTTGATTGCTGTTGGTGATGATAATCATTTAACATCTGGGATGATGACTCACCAAATAGATTCGACATAATATACTCTCCCGCAGGATGTGGCTTAGAGCATCGATCGGATGTTTACGTGTTAAGGTGCTGAAAAGAATGATAGCCTCAGTAGCCTCAGTGATCCAAAAAAACTATGTGCGCTTACAAATCAGTTTTGGATGCATTCCAAAGAGGCAAATCTTTGGTACATTTGTCGCCACCGTCCTTAGCGTCTGTAAAGTTACTACTTTCGCCTTTTTATTTAAAATGATATTTTATTATCACACAAAACTGAAAACAAATCAATTACAATTGTTTTTTTCATAGGGCCATGGACAAAAATTCAATTTAATTTAATTTTTTTTAAATAAATCTAAATCAGGTCAAATATGGTGTTACCTTTTCACGTGGAAAATGCCAACAACCGTTAAAAAAATAATATATTGATGTATAACTTTTGTTTTGTTTAGAAATAATGTACATGTGTCGCCGAGCTTTGTCCGTAAGTTACGCACCGAACGTATCCAATCTTAGGCATTGTTTCTAAGCAATGCCGTCGCATCGACCTCCTCTGCGCGTCGGTCGATACTCCCGCTGTACTGTATTCGTGCATACTTTGAGGTATCCTCGTAATAACCTTATATTATTGCACTGGTATTGTATCATGTTCCGTGCGTGTCTACAATGTTGTACTAGACTTCAATGTGTACCGGGCGTGTTCATGTAGTTACAGTCCAGTTAGTAGAAAAACACATAGAAACAATGTTGTGTGATATAATGATAAATGAGCAAATCTGGCCAAATATTTGTATAATTTGCCATATTGAGGATAGTTTCCATAGCACATGGTGATATTATTCAATTAAGTATTATTTCAATTTTAACCTATTTATTAAATGTAATTCTGGACAATAACAATTACCATGACAGTAACGATATACACATTATTTGTGACATATCTTATCTGAACAATCAATGACAAAAAGGTTTTAAAACTAACAAAATGTCCGCCACTTTTTATTCATGCGTTCTGATTGACCAGAGGCGGCGGCACGACATTATGCATGAGGGGGCAAGATCTGCCTACCAACCTTGCGCCAAAGGCGCAATCTTACTAAGAGGTCCGGGCATGCTCCCATTTGAAAAAATTGAAATCTAGACTCTCTGAAACTCTATTTCTTACATTTTGAGGGGCAAATGTTGCTGAAACAAATGTTGCCCATTCTGCCGCCCTCCCTGTGCCGCCGCCGCTGTTGACTCTGTAAAATACGATATATTTTGAACAATTCAGCGATTGAGTGAATAATACTACGTGACGCAGTGACTCTTACTTTACTTCGGTTTACTCCCCCTTTGCTAGTGTGAGCTTCGGCGATTGACAACATGATGAGCAGCAATAAACATACTATAGACTACCTAATCAACAATTTGCCAACCCACCTGGGTGAGTGAGAACCAAATGTAATGCCAAAGTTTCGCAGATTGGAATTTCGGAAAATAATCGCAATTTTTGGTCAAATTATCCTCACATATTGGGAGATGTCGAATCGGTAGATTAAAAAAAATGCAACACAACATGAAAGAAGATTTCCGGAATTTATCAAGCAACTTGCCTGTACATTAATACTTGAAACACAGATACATAATTCTGTTACTGTACAAAGCCGTCGGCGTACGTTATCGTCATGTGTATTGTTAATGTACAGTGAAGCGAATACAACAAACGCACGTCACCAGGTACAGCGCTGTGGCAAGAACAACGTAACCTCATTTAAATAGATATATACCAATCATATGAATGTTTGATTTACATTTAAGTGGAAATTATACGTCATAGCGATTACGACAGATTGGTTTTTGAATCACGAATTTGCGAACTAATCGCAGTTGGTTCTCGTCATGTCTCGTAAATAATCAACATCGCAATCCAATATGTACTCCTTGTTTTTCCATCTTGTCATGTAAAATGATATTCAGCGGAAAGTCAGCTTTGATTTAAAAAAAATCATTCTATCATTGGCTGGTGATACCAAAAAATTGTGCTATTATTTTATTTATCATTGAAGCAGGCCTAGGGCCTGGCACTGTGTGCGGCAATCCTTTATAGAGATTGTAACAGCACATGGAGACGATTGCGCATTAGTATTAGGGCGAACGGGGTCAATTAGAGTTTACACCATGCGTATCGACATATGGGGTAGGTGACGTCATACTATAACATCGAATAAGATGCTAGGTCATCCAAACAACAGAAGTGACACATATACACACCCTGTTGCAATGGATGCTACTGTCGGTGCACGAAGCAATCGGCTTACGTTACCTTTATATGTATTATTAATGTACAATAAGGCGAGTAAAACACACGCACTGCACCTGGTACAGCGCTGACGCAAATACACCGCAACCAAATCTATACATACATAACCTAAGCCGTATTACACGAGGCATCGCGTAGCTTGCAGATGACAACATTTGTCATGCGAGACAACTGAAGACACGACCCGTCGCTCAAATCACCCGTTTTGCACATGTATTTGGCGGAATAATATCGTATCGCCCATTCCTTGCCGCGCATTTTCAATTGTTGGTGACCATTCTGGTGGTATATTATAGATGAATGTTAATCGTTTTCACTTTAACACCAGTAATCTAAAACGCGTGAAAAAATATATTTATTTCTTAATTATACTCAATTTAATTCAAATGACATTTTTAATGACACGGCAGCAGGGAAAGGAGATGTTGCCATGGTTATCATACTTATTTATAATTTTCATCAAACCAATTCTTTAATTCATACTGCTTGTCATAAGCAAGTAAACCTAACACAAGACTTTCCTCAAAACGTTTTCAACACAATCAAATGAAATCATGAAAATGATAACTGTCGTCTAAATAATAAATAAATTTTACCTATTAACCAATATTCAAAACTAATAGCAATTGCATTCCGGATAGGTACGACGTTATTTCGTGCATTGGCGAAGGTCAAAATGACGAACTGTGTTCACGAGGCAACTGACTGCGGCAACAGGTAACTAGTTGCCTCAAAACCGCCATGACGTTTTTGTTTTCATTCTTTTTCTTCAACGGTGACATTTTAATGATATTAGGCAAAGTCTGTTTTAATGTCAATGTTATTAAGACTAAATGAATTAGTTAATAGTAATTTATTGACTTGCTTTATTTGCAATTAAACTATTAAATAATTAGTGTGTTAC